GAGCGAACCGCGCTGGGAGCCCGAAAACGCCCTCTTCGCCAAATTGCACTCGTGCCCCCGAAAGACCCTGTCACAGGAGATCCCGGTTCTGACCTGGGACTCCACTTTCCCCAAAAATCCTTGGCACACCCCTTTTCGCACTTCCAGGCCCACATCCCACTCCGATCAGGAAGTCGCATTGGGCGTGAGGTTGGTATCGGAGCCCGACACGTGGCTGGGTCCTAGGATTAATAGCACGCTAATTAGGCGATCTGGCTAACCGAGGGCGGCCTCGCCCCCGGAACGCGCATAGACACGACCCTGTCATCACCCGAAGCAGATCGGCCAATCGACGAGCAGCCAATATGGCTGCTAATGTGCAAAATCTGAATCCGCAAGAGAATGCTAATCAACCGAATCCTAATCAACCCGCCCCACGAGCACGGGTTGCCATGACGGCACCTGATCTCTATATATTCGATCCTGCACACCATCTCGGAGGAGCATGGCTGGCTACGCTTAGAGCGCAGCAATACGATGATAACGAAGCTCAGGTAAACATCCCCACTCGATTAGGAGGAGACGCTCATCACTGGTTTAGTACCTATGTATGGGTAGATCTTCAAACCTTCGAACGAGACTTTCTGAATCGATTTGATTACGTTCACCCAGAGCAAGCGCTTTACATGATCAAGGATCGGGTGCAAAAACCTCTCGAATCCGTCGCAGAGTATCGAAACCGGTTCTACCGAATGTTTGTGAAAACTGAGCGAGGMGAGCAAGTAGGGAGAGATCTGTTCATAGACGGACTCCGCAGCCGAACAATAAGGGCGAAGCTGCGAAAGCAGTTTTCCCCCATCAATCACACGCTACAGCAGATCATGGCCGCCGCAGAAGAAATGGAACGAAAGTTCGTGGCGAACTTCCTGGAAGGAGAAGACTACTGTAGGGAAGGAGATTCGTCCGAACTCATAAGAGCCCGAACTGAACTAGCTGCGCTGCAAGAAAAATTTGAAAACATGGGGTTTGTGTCAGGCCCTGTCACCTACATGGAACAGATAGCCCCTAAACGACCAGTTCCAAGTGAGATCCCGAGTGTCCCTGTCCCTGTAATGCCAACGCCTGTAAGAACGACACCCCCGCCCCCAGTCGAGACTCCCGTACGATCGAATGAATCAACTGCCATACTCGAGTTGACCAAAACCTTGGTTAGTCTAATCCAGGAAAACAAAAAGGAGCAGCGGGAGCACAATGCTCGGTTGGAAGCCATGATGAGGAACACGCGGCCCATTGCGGTGCGTGCCCCTCCGATTCAGCAAGGGTTAGCCTCGACACCCGCTCTTGGAGGAGTCGCAAGCAATTTGAATGTCTGTTATGCATGTCATCAACCTGGGCATCTAGCCCGTGATTGCCCTCACAGGCCTCCGCAACAATGTGTCGGGGTCGCGCCGATGGCCGCGGCCCCCATCGCTAACGGACCAGGACGAGTAGGAGCTTTGATGGAAGAAGTAGAAGGTGGGGGAAGTGCTTTAGCCACCACGGAAGAAGCCGCCGAGCTAATTCCGTTAGATCAGTACATATCACTTGGTTATCCCGGGCTTGGAATGATCGGAACGATCAGACCAGCACCAGAACATAAAGAGGTGGCGGAGTGACGACCTTCTACAGGAGAGATGGAGTCGGGAGGACCCACCTTCGTCACTGGGGAAATCGATGTGCTTAACATCGTTCGAGCCTTGGACCATCGGATCTCGCTTCCGATCGGTCATTTACTTTTGATCTCGGAACAAGCTAATGAGCGAATGCTACAGCACTGCAAGGCGAACCGAAAACGATTCGCCCTCGCCCGAATACCGAACGTAAAGTCTAAAAACCCCACGCCCAAGTAAAACCCGGTTCGCACGTCGGATCCAATTCGGGTAGGGTTAATCCAGAAAGACGATAATTTCTTGCGGATTAAACCCATCCTGTGGAAATCCGCAAAATGTGATATTGAAATTTGGGGAATTCCTTACAACGCAATTATAGATTCGGGAGCGGCGGTGTTGGCTATTTCACTAAGAGTGGTCGAAAGGGCAGGAAGGAAAAACGACCTGATCATGCTTTCCGAGAAAGATCAGCTCGTTTCGGCTGACGAAGAAAAGATTAAAACCGTAGGAAGGATGACCAATGTCGCTTTTTGATTAGGAAAGGTGCATGCACAGGGAGATGTTGTCGTATTAGATGTGAATACCTACGACGTCCTTTTCGGACTTCCTGCTCTTGTAGCGTTACAAGCAAACCTGGATTTCGAACGACGATCGATCGTCCTCCGAAATACGGGAGGAAAGCCCTATGCTGTACCTATGAGGCTAACCCTTCGTACCACCATCAACGCAGTCCCACGGGTTTCGCCAATGATGGCAGGGACTCTCCGCATGATCTCCTGGGATGAATCCGCGGATGGAATGTCATCGACGAATAATGCGGACAGCCGTGATGAGGACGATCCGGAAATCTCGAAGCTCGCACGACAGCGTGTTTACTACCCGCCACCCAGAGCGATAGCAAGAACGATGCATCTGACCAGTCGGAACATTCAAAGGACCAAGGCGATGATCTTGGGTGAACCCCTCGTACAAATTTCAAGGATGGTCGATTCCTTGGAACCCCCTCAAACCTTGTACGAAAGAATCACCCCTCTCCTCGCCCGGTACAGTGACAAAAAGCATTACCGCGACATTACGGATCTACCAAGGTCCCGCTTGACACCCGCAAAAGAAGTGCGACTGTTGCGCTTGGGGGTGGAAGCAAATTCTTTGGAACCCCCTGGGCGCCTCGAAGCTGACTCGGACGAACTCGGAGTAAAGATCGCGACTAGGACTGTACCATGGCAGAATGTTTGTGACGGAATTACCCCAGAAGGACACATGGCCATTCGGGAAGAAGACGCCCAGATGATGGCCACGGTGTTCTCCTGGCGATCGGATCACTCCTTCATTTCTGCACCCCCGCCCGATGTGGCGAAACCTGCACGCACAAAACAGATAGATGTACGGATCTGGGACCAGCATTTCGAGTTACACGTGCCACAATACGTACCCGATGAGATTCATCGATTGATTGCGGACATTTTGACAAAATATCGGGGAGCGATTAGCGTGATAGACACTGACATTGGGCTGTCGTTAGTTATTCAACACGAAATACAGACGGAAAATCACTCCCCGATCCATTGTAAGCCGTATCGATACTCCCTGATAGAGCACAAAAAGCCTCTCGAATGAATTCGAGAATTTGAAGCCAGCGGGTGGATTGAACCGGACCATGGTCATTTCCCGTCGTACTAGTGCTGCGAGGACACTAACTATGGGGTCTTCCAATTTCTGGACTTTCAATCCTAGCCTCATCTTTTTCAACGCTCTACGGCTAATATAACTACGGGTAGCCCCTGAATCAATAAGGGCCCCAACTCTACTCCTGAACACTTCTACATCCACTAACACTAGCTGCCCTTTACTATCTTTCTTCATCTTGGCCCAGGCAGGCATCCTCTCCTTCAGTTCCTCTGCCACGCCTGTGAGGGACGTGCCTAGAGAGACGCTAACACAAGCAGTATCTGGACAACTAACTAGGCACGAGCCTGCAACCTCTGCCGAAGGCTCATGTGGTGTGGGAGTTTCCTCTACGCGCGCGCTCGCTTCCCCACATGGCCTAATAGTAGGGGCAGTTGCAACCCCTACTGCCAGCTGCCTTTTGACTCCTGGGCAGCCCAATGGGCCTGTCTATACTTAGGACGATATTTTATGATATGGGCCGGGTCACCACAATAGATGCACTGCCCCTGCTCCATACTTGTGGCCAACCTGGGTGCCAACCTCCTGACCTTTGCGGTGACCTGCCACCTCGTCGCGGTGGGGACCGACTGGGACCTTGACGATTCGGCGGGGGACCTTGACCCCTACCTTCCACTTGACGGTTCCCTTGACCGCCAACCCCCTGTGCGCCTGATCCTCGGCCTCCCATGGCCTGACCCCTTTGGCCCTGGCCTCCTCCTCTACCTTGCGGCCTCCCTCCAGCCGCGACAGCAGCATAGGACCTCCCCTGTCCTACGCTACTGTCCTCCTCCTCGAGTCCCCACTTAATCTGACTGTAGGGGACCTCATCTGTACCACCCTCGTCTAAAGTAAGGATCAAATGATCCTTGGCCCTGACTTGGCCAGAGATGGTATGGCCTTTCCACTTTTTGCCCTTGTCTAAGTCCTTGTGCCAGAAAGTGGAAACTGACATGGACTTGGCCTCAAACAAGACCACTTCCCTACTCAATGCATCGTATGTGGTGTTGGGCTGTTGGGTCTTGTCAAAGAAATGCCCTCTCAAGGGCTCTGGCATGGCACGATAGAATAACTGGACCAACTAGGTCTCCGTGACCCCGTGGTCCGGGACGGCTACCAAGTCGTCCATGACAGCTTTGAGTGCTTTCGCACTCCTCCACTGTCGCGAGTGGACAGTCTAGAGTTTGTCAGAGGCCCTGACGCCTCTCGTGACATCAGCGAACCTCTCACGCAGGAGTTTGAGAAAAGTGGAGAGAGGGGTGAGCCGCGAATATGCAATCATGTTGTGCTCGCAATCTGCGGCGCGCGCTAGGGACCTGGCGAAGCTTGCCGCTTCGTCCTTCAACGCGTGGAAGGTAACGACGACCTGCTCCTCGGGGGCGATATGCTGTAAATACACATAAGTATTGACTCTGGCTTCCCAGTTGTCAAAACTTTCGTCCTTCTTCCCGCTATAGGCATCAGGAAATTTGAGCTTCACAGGCTCCTTGCGGGGACGTGTGGCGGCCTCTGTTGTGGCCACAACTGTGGCGCCCTCAATTGCGCCGACACAAAACTTCTTTGCGCCTTCCTTTAATTTCTCTACTTCAGTCCCAACGTGGGTCACCACGTCGTGTGCGAACTCCCTAAACCCAGATCATATGGCGTGCAAGGTCACATCTTGACCCTTGACGGCCTGATGTTCTTCTACCCAGGCCTTGCTCAAAATCTCTAAATATCCCAGAATCTCGTCTAGTTTGGAGGGGACCTCAGCTTGTGCCTGCACCTCCTATCTACAGGCTTGAACCTTTTCTACTTCTTTCGCCACCCTGTTGGCCTCCTCCCTCCTCCTCTTCTTTTCCCTCATCATTCGTAGTTTCCATTCCAACTTCTTCTCGTCCTCCGTTGTCTGGCGTTCCAGGGGATCTTCTATCGTCTCCAACTCCTTGGAAAACGCTTCCCTCTCCTCCTGCGGCACATACAACTGTGCCTCCTCATCCTCTCCCAACGATAAGTTAGCTACCCACTCGCTTATCTTCTTCTCCATCCATGCATCTTCCCATTTTGTGCCACTGGTTTCCCCTTGTTGTTCCCTACGCCTCCTCTCAAGAGGTTCCTCTTCTACCTCCTCCTCTTCTCCTGCTGCTGCTTCTTCCTCTGCAGCCCTTCTTCTTTCCTCCTCCTCTAACTGTATTTGCAGCATCTTCTCCTTCTCAAATCGCAACATCTACTCCTCCAATCTCTTCTTCTTCGCCGCCTGCTCCTCTGTAATGGCCTTTAACTTAGCCTGCTTAAGGAACTCTTTCTTCTCCTTTCTCTCTTTCAAAAGGGCGGCGATCCGGGCCTGTTCGGCCTCGGAGGGGGCGAATACTCTTCCCAGTACGGGTGTCAACCATGGTGATTGGGGCACAACCAGACAGCGGTTCCACTCCTCACCACTTAGACTCTACTCCCCCCGACTGACAAACCTACTGACTCAATCTAAGACTTACAGAATCCGGACAGGATCCTGTCAACTAGGGTCTCTAGCCTAGACCTACTCTAAGGCTATCACTACAAGACCTGTTGCTGATCAGGAGGCATTTAAGGAGATCCCCCGTAACTCCTCAAGAATTCTTTAACGTCGCAGACAGGACGACGCGATCAGCAGGTCTTCTCAACACTTAGACGACCTGTTGTGCAATCGACAGCTCGGATTTTGGCTACCGTGCCACACCGAGCAGCCCGCCGGTCAGTACCTCCTTGGGAGGGTTCGTGTCCTCCGGGACAGTCGAGTCGTCAGACACAGTCTTTAGCCCTATTCAGCCCGTGTGGGTTTGGTCAACAAGGCCCTATCCTTCATCCACTGAGTTCCTATCACCTGGACAAAAGAGACTCAATGCAGAAAGAAGAGACAGACAAACTTGACTCAGCAAGTACCACAGGGTGTGTGCACATCCATAGGGCGAGGGGATAGGTTGAAGGCTTGGCGATAATATACCGGCTCCAGCTTGGTCAAACTCTTGGTCAACGCCTTGGTCAACGCTGGGTCAACGTTGCAGTCAACCCCCGGTCAACCTCTCTCTCTCCCTCTTCGTTACTCCATGGTCAAGCTTTGCGGCTATGGCCGCCTCCTTCTTCCTCGTGGGACTGCACAGCACACTTCAAAGGTACGTGACAACCAAACTTGTATCGCTC